CCTGCCTCAGAGCCTTTTTTAAGTTGGTGTTCCAGTCGCCTGTTGAAGAGGTGCTGGGGTCTGTTTGTTTTCCCCTGTGGCCACTCACTGCACTGGCTTAAACAGCGGCACCGAGATTTGTGGCACTTTTTTTTTTTTCCCCCGGAATCTACTGTTCTGGTTCCCTGCTCAGTCCCCTTTTTAAACAGACAAATGGGCGACTTCCCGTGGCTCTGGTACCCAAAAGCTTCCTAGACATTAAGGGGCTCAATTGCCCCCTAACACCCCAAATTCATATATTGAATACCTAATCTTCAGTGTCTCATGATGTGACTGCATCTGGAGACAGGGTCTTTAAATAAGTAATTAAGTTTAAAAGAGGTCATTTGGGGAGTATGGCTCATGTCCTTATAAGACGACATTAGGGCACACACACAAGAGAGAAGACCACAGTGAAGACACAGGGAGAAGACAGCCATCTGCAAACCACGGCAAGAGGCCTAGGAAGAAACCAATCCTGCCAACACCTTAATCTCAGACTTCCAGGATCCAGAATTGTAAGAAAATACATTTCTCTTGTTTACATGAGCTGTGACAGTTATGGTAGGCCTAGCAAACTAATATACTACATAAACCTAGAAGATTCCTAGGTAAGCCCCCATTCCACCCTCTTCTCTAAAAATTTTTTTATTTGCTCAAAGGAAGATAGCAGACCTCTAAGAGCTGTCTCATCAGACAGCCCACACACACACGCCTCCACACTAAAGAATCTCAAAGTGTAAAAAATAGCAAACTGCTATATTTACATTATAGTCACTGGAGGGTGTGTCAACTGGCAGTTATTATACAGATTGTGCTCCAATGTGTGGTGTCTCCTAGTCACTCCTACTTTGACCTTATGACACTTGAAAGTATTAGGGAAGCAGGGCAATGGAACTTAAAACAAGTGCCACCTGATCTAGGAATTCATTAGTGCTTCTTTTATTGTTCATTCTTATTTCCTGCATGTTAGCAGCCATCCTTAAACTGGGTTAAGTCTTAGGGAACTTCACAGTAAATGCTGCTTTCCTCTTACACAGCCATGGTGGGAGCGGGGGGTGAACCCTTACAAAACAGAGGGAATGTCAACAGTCGGCCAGACCTACATGCCAGCTCCTCAGGCTCAAAGAGCTGGAAGCCTTCCCTCAAAGAGGAGACCAGGAAGAGCTAACATCCAGAGAGGGAAGAAATAAGGCCAGCAAGGCACAGGCTTGCCAAGTCTTATCTCATCTCTAATTTAAACATCACCTCAACACCCAGTTGAAAGTAACTTCCAGTCAAATACCATCACATCACCCTGTTTTAATTATCTGCATTGCTTGGATTGCTTTCTGGCATTGCTCTTGTTTATTTATGCATGCATTTTATTACCTGAACTTACCCCCACTGCACCAAGAAAGCACTCACTGCTGTATTGCCAGTACTTAGTACAGAGCAGACGCATAGTAGGCACTCATCAGCTAGCTCTTGGATCGATATAAGGAGTGAGAGCACCATCACCTTCCTTGCCCCCTAATATGGTTTAGATCACTGTCCACACCCAAATCTCAAGTTAAAATGTAATCCCCAGGCTGGAGGTGGGACCTGGTGGGAGGTGATTGGATCATGGGGGTGCACTAGGCTGCATTAAAAATGATGATGATGATACTGAGTTCTCCTAAGATCTGGTGTTTAAAAGCATGTGGCACCTCCCTCTGTCTCTCTTGCTCCTGCTCTGGCCACATAGGACAAGCCTGCTTTCCCTTTGCCTTCTTCCATGATGGCAAGTTTCCTGAGGCCTCCCCAGAAGCCAAACAGATGCCAGCATCATGCTTCTCATACAGCCTGCAGAACCGTGAGCCGATTAAAACTCTTTTCTTCACAAATTACCCAGTTTCAGGGATTTCTTTACAGCCACGTAAGAATGAACTAATACACCCCCCAGATCAAGAGTCTGATCATCTCGACAGAGGGAAGTGTCTGCCTGTTGAGCCTGTCAACCAAGGCTCTCAAGTCCGCTTGTTCAGAGGAGCTGAGGCATGGCCCAGGCAGAATTCCATGAAGGTAGGATTACATTCTCATTAATACTGTGTGACACAAATTTACTGATGCTCTTTCCCCCAAGTTTACATCATGAATTGGTTCTCTGCAAAATGAACCACTGATTGATTCCCTGTCCTTCTCCCTCTCATGAAACATCTGTCTCATGGTTTAATCAGGAAGGCCCGTGGGACTCTCCTATTTATAAAGAAAATAAATAGCCTCCTCCTTCTAACTAATAACAGATAAACAGGATGGAGGCAAATCTATATATGCCAAGAAAACTTTGCCTAAGCAATTAGGAGCTATGATCCTATTACATGCCTCTGGCCCACTTTTTTTTTTTTTTTTTTAGAAAATTAACAAAATTAATCAGCTATACCTCAATCTAATCGCAGCATAACATAAGACATTGCACTTAATGGGCTGTAACTGGAAAATTATTGTAGAGCAAGGTAGGTTAATCTAGCATGTCGGTCACTCCTGGATCCAAGTCATCTATTTGGTCAATGCCCAAAGCCCTTCCTGGTTCCTTCTCTGTAATTTCCCTTGCTAATACAGGCAATGTAGTAAAAAATCTCAGTCTTCTCCCCAAAGGAGCTTACAGACAATGCTAAGGTATTTAGGTGTCTTAAGATCACATTGTTAGCACACACCCTTACGGAAACAGGAGGACGAGAAAGGGGTCTCTACTGGAAATTATAACCTTTGTTTATCTCCTTCTTTCCCATTTCCCCTATTCAGAGCTAAAAAGCCAGCTTTGCTCTCAGAAATAAATCATCCAAGTAACAATCGATTTCAACATTTCTACGTACATGTCTTGCCCAGTGAGTACTGGTATTTAGAAGGATGATCCTAAGGACCCACCAGATCTTTAGTCATCTACGACTTAATTATGTTCAGAATGTCCAATTTACCAAGACAGTCAATGTTCTGGGAAGGTCCTATTTTTTTCTGATATATTTTATAAAGATTTTTTCAGAACACTCTGAACAAAGCTCAGGTTAATCTTGAATGAACTGGAAAACGAAAATAGGTGTTTTACCCAGTTCACCTGGGTATTATTGCTCAAAGAAATTGGCCCTTGTTTATGTAGCACTCTGCATATGTTCTGTGTGTGCAGGAGGGAAACAGATAGGGAGAGATGAGGAAAGACAGAGGAGAACATCCATCTTCCCAAAAGCTTTCTCAAGGCACACACCGTCCTTTGTCAGCTTTGGATTTCTGCATGAAGCCCAGAACACAGCTTTGCAGGACAGCCACACTCCACCCTGAGCACCTGACCAGCCTCATTTCCAAGGTCACGTTTTTGTGGGTAGGGAACACAGCAATGAGAAGAGGGTGCACACTCACCGTGAAGACCACCTTCAGGTTGTTGAGCATCTCAATCTCCTTAGGGAAGCCCCGGCTGCCCCATCGCACCAGGTAGTTCTCACTGTGGGAAGAAGAGTGGCAGCCCGTTACTGCCAGGGGGCCTGGCATCCATTCAGTAAAAACATTCACCAAGCATCTACTATGTGCCCAACACCATGCTGGCTGCTGGGGGCATGCAGGTGTTTAAGGTAGACATGGTCTTTCCCTCCAAGAGATCACAGTTGTCCTGAGAGACAGACATTAGACAGGCAAGAGCAAAGAACTATTAACATATATATATATATATTTGCCACTTCTAGCCCTCTCCCATCTGCTAAGCAAATTCTGGCAAAGCTGTCTAATATTTTTGAAGAGCATCTGCATACTGATAGAGGTTATTGAGAATGGCAGAGATGAAGGAGGAAAGGACTTTAGTATATTTTGTTGGACATTAAGAATATATTTACCCTTTCCAGCCCATTCCTCATTCAAGACTGAGTGAAGATCTGAATTATTTTAAGTTACCCTTTGAATGTAGAGTTGTTTCCTTGAATGGAATGTCATACTGTGATGGACCATACAGGGCCTCAGCCATTATCGAAGATACACTTAAATCACTGTTTAAATGCCATTGTGGCACCATTTATATAAAATTGTGCTACATGCTAAGCATACTTAATCTGAAAATTCAAAATATGAAATGCTCCCAAACCTGAACATTTTTAAGTGTCAATATGATGCTCAAAGGAAATGTTCAACAGAACATTTTAGATTCCAGATTTTTGGATTAGGGATGCTCAACTGGTAGGTAAATATAATGTAAATATTCCAAAACCCAAGAGAAAATCTGAAATGCAAAACACTTCTGGTCCCAAGCATTTCAAATAATGAACAGTCAGTCTGTAGAAAGGAGAAGTTAAGGATGTTGTAAGAGTGTATATCAAATGGGCCTGATCTACTGGGTGGTCAAGGAAGTATTTGCTGAGGAAATGACAAGAAATAAAGTTGCCCAGGAGAAGAAGGTAGGAAAGGGAAATGTTTCAGGCAAAGTTAACATGAGTAAAGGCCATGAGGCAGGAAGGAGCTGGATGCATCTAAGAAACAGGTTCAAGAGGGCTGGGTGTGGTGGCTTATGCCTGTAATCCCAACACTTTGGAAGGCCAAGGTGGGCGCATCACCTAAAGGTCAGGAGTTTGAGACTAGCCTGGGCAACATGGTTTCAACGTTTATATTTTTAGTAGAGATGGGTAAAACCATGTTGAAATCATGGGCATTCAAAATAATGGGCATTTGTTTAGCACCAATATAGTTGTCAACCAATATGCTCCTAGATGGCATGGAAAATCTGATGTTTCAACTCAGCAAACTATATGAAGCTTCTTCTAACTCAAATAAGTGCTAGACTTCTCTATCTTCCTGGAGTGATTAGACAGACTAGCATGATGGCTGCAAGGAGATGTGAGATGGCAAAGGGTCGTACGTCAGAGCCTTAATACCCTCCAGTGGGTCTCCATTATTCTCAGCGTCAAGGCAAAATCCTTGAATGACCTACAAAGCCTATGCAGACTGGCCTCTCCCTCTAATTTTTAAAATAAAATTATCCAGGCGTGGTGGCACACGCCTATAGTCCCAGCTACCTGGAGACTGATGCAGGAGAACTGCTTGAACCCAGGAGGTGGAGGTTGCGGTGAGCTGAGGTTGCACCACTGCACTCCAGCCTGGGTGACAGAGGCAGATGCCATCTCAAAAAGAAAAAAAAAAAAGAGAGAGAAAGAAAAAGAAACAAACAGATTCAAGGGAAAGTGACAAGAGAAAAATTAGAGGGAGAGACCACTCCGCATAGGCTTTGTAGGCCATTCAAGGATTCTGCCTTGACGCTGAGTAATGGAGACCCACTGGAGGGTTTTATGGTTCTGACGTACGATCCTTTGCCATCTCACATCTCCTAACAGCCATCATACTAGTCTGTCTAATCGCTCCAGGAAGATAGAAAAGTCTAGTACTTATTTAAGTTAGAAGAAGCTTAATATAGTTTGTTGAGTTGAATCATCAGATTTTTCCATGCCATCTAGGAGCATATTGGTGCACAACTATATTGGTGCTAAATAAATGCCCATTATTTTGAATTAGGAACAAGACTTTTTTAAAATTCAAAAATCGAGTTAGTCTAAGAAGGCATAAAGGGATTCGGCAAAGTTAAAGGGACTTGACTTCCTTTTAGTTTTGTTATTCTCTGATGTCTCATTCCTCTCTCTCCAGTCACCCCTAAAAGGTTAATGAGTGCAGACGGAGCAAAGTTCAAGCAGGAAATGGGGTCAATAGCAAAAATGAACATAGCTCCAGATTAACCAATGCTTAAAACTCAATCGAGTTAAATGAATCTTTTTATCTTTTGTGCTTTTTTCAGTAAGACCTAAAAATTTTGGTGGACTTTTCAGTAAACTAACCAGGAAGGCTCCATCCAAAATTTTTTTTTAATTTTAAATGCTTTCTCGGCTGATCTAAAGGTAATGAGTTATCTCAATTGATAGTTCACAGTCAGTTACAGATCGAACTCCTTGTTCTATTCTTTCCCCCCTTCTCACTACTGCACTTGACTAGTCTTAAAAAATATATTAAAAAAATAAAAATTAAAAAAATAAACGCTTTCTCATTGGTAATGTCTGTACTGTTAGTGAAATGCTTAGAGATATTCCAGTACCTTCCATCATATGTAGCAAACCCCTCAGTGACCTAGCCTGCTATGTCTAAACAGCAAGCGCCAGCAATTTTCTTCTAGGAGAAGCACAGTCATCAATTTGGAGCGGTGAGCTGGCCCCACCCATCCTCACCCAGGGAGATATGGGTGGTAGAATCTGTGGGCTCATGGCACCAAGACAGGTGAGACCTCCTCCAAATGACACCGTACTCGGAGGAATGAGGAGGACTATTCCAACTCCTCATCACACCATTTATGGGCATCAGCCTTACTGCTAAAGCCTGACACTGGAACTGCTTCTCTTGTGTCCTACAAAAATTTACATTAAATTTCCTAAACAGGATCCCTTCAGGGATCTACTGGGGATCTGAGCATGATTCAGTCCAACATTGAAACATCAATCCCCGCCACATTCTCCCCAGTCCACATCTGGGCCACGCTGAAAATGTCTTAAGCTGCCTGTTGTTCACTGTATGTCGACCCTGGCTAGAGAAGGCAGGAGCCCAGATTTCTTGCTTAGGGAAAGAGCAGCTCTTCAGAGTGAGACTGATATTGGGAGTGTTCCCCGATTCCCCTGTCCCCTTCCTGCATCGTGCCTCTTCTCTTCTTCCTTTGCTTTCTCCTCTTTTTACCATTGCTAGTTTCTGCTCCCTTTGTCCTCCTCCCTCTGCTCATCCCCACTCTCCCAGGGCTGGCCCTTGTCTCCAGCACTCTCAGAGATGTCACTCAGGCACACCCCATTGAGCACAGCGTGCCAGGTGGCACAGCAGGAAGCACAGCTGCCACCCCGCTGATTCATGGCCTCCCTCCACAGAGCTGATCCAGCCATCCATCACTAAGATGGGCCAGCTGACCACACTCCCTTGTCAATGTGGCAGGCAGTGAGCACTTTCAGGGTCCATTGTATGTCATAGGCCCTATACTATTCTCTCTCAGTTGCTTCCAAAGCTCCTAAAACTGCAGCCAGTGAGCCTTTCAGGAACCTTGGGAGTAACTAACAGGGAACAGCAAGGGGCCTCTGCCTCTGACACCCAAACCATTTCAAGGTGGGCCTAAGGGACCAGGAACACTCATTCTCAGTGTCCACTGAGGCTGAGCCACGTGAATTGGGCTGACTCTTCAATGTTAGGGACTTTGGTGCATAATAAAAAAATACCTTTCCACCATAATGGTGCTGAAACCTTGGTGAGAACTATTTAGAATATTTGACATGACTCATTTATTGATGACAGACTTAAGTGGGAAATAGCTTGTCTTTGGAGTCAGATGGGCCTGTGTATAAATCTCAGCTCTGCCTCACTTTTTCACCCTAATGACATGGATTAGATGAGACAACGTACAGACCCCAGTACAGTCTGCTGAGATGGACAGCCTCTCCAGTTTCTTGCATGTCTTCAGGACATCACTGTTTACTAAGATACCACTATTCACTAGGCATGGTGTATTCATTCATTTAATCAACATAACAACAAGCCAGGAAAACATCATTTCATCCGTTTTTCCCACAAAGGCAGAGAGATCATGTCCTAGCTCCTTTCTAATGTGTGTCTCTACAAAAAATGAAAAATCAGCCGAGTGCAGTGGCACATGCCTGTAGTCACAGTCAGTGGCCTCAAATACAAGACCATGTGTTGGCTTAAAACCCCAATGGAGGAGAGAGGCAGTGGTCGCCTGGGAGGCAGGATGGTCTGAGCCACAAGCAGAGGCCAGGGGTCTGGCAGTAGGAGCTGGAGGAGCACCAAAGTCTCTTCCCTGGCGATTGCCAAAATTATTTTCCCTTCCTTGAGCCGAGGCACCCAGAAGTTACTTCACTTCCTCCATTTCCAAGAACAACTTATTAAAGTAGTAATAATAACAGCCACTGCCCCTTGCAGCACAGGCACCATGTGCCAGGCCTTGTGTATCACAAGCTCTTTCTCATGAAAGCTTGAAAGAAATGATGCTGTGAGGTCAGCACTCACACTGTGCAGATGGGAAACTCAGGCTTAAGAAACATTGACAACCTGCCCAACCTTAAGAAAGAGTAAACAGTGGGGCCAAGATGTGAACCCAGACAGATCTCAGGGCCTATACCCTTAGCCTATTGTTGCTACAGAGGATTCGAAGCATTCATTTCTTAACTCCTATTTTGAAAGTAGATATTGGTGGGGAGCAGTGCCTCACACCTATAATCCCAGCACTTTGGGAAGCCAAGGTAGAAGGATCACTCAAGGCCAAGAGTTTGACACTAGACTAGACAACACAGCAAGACCCTGTCTCTATAAAAAATTAATAATTAGCCGGGTGTGGAGGTGCATGCCTACAGTCCCAATTACTCAGGAGGCTGAGGTGGGAGAATCGTTTGAGCTCAGGAGTTCAAGGCTACAGTGAGCTGTGATTACACCAATGCATTTCAGCCTGGGCAGCAGAGTGAGACCCTGTCTCAAAACAAAAAAGAAGTAGATATTTTTATTCTAGCCAATGCTTCTTATCTGAACCTTGTTATTTCTGGCTGCTTTCCAGTCATCAAAATCTATTTTACAAAACCCTACAACCATAAACTCCACTGTGGGAAAAAAACTGGTGGTAAATAACACTTCCACGTGAGACCTACAACCTCCAAAGAAGTTATTTCTACATTCTCAGTCATGCTCAGTCTCTTTCCCAGGTTGAAATTGCTCCACAAGTGATGATGGAAAGAAAAGACGCTCTGTGCACTGCTTCCCAGAGACAGAGAAGTAGGGCAACACTGAACACACCTACCTTATGACTGTTTGCTTGTTGGGGTCATAGAGAGACATGAAGAGCTCGGCATCTTCCCCAATTCGGCACACAAAGTTTCTCACGAAGACATAGAGGCTATGGGTGGGGGATGAGGAGATCCGGGAATACATTCCATAATCTGGCTGGTCTTTTGACTGAAAGGCAGAAGGAAGAAGGAAAGAAGATGGAGAAAATTAGCCCAGTACCATTTGTGAAAATCACCTGATCCCAGGAGGTTGAAGCTGCAGTGAGTCATAATTATATCACTGTACTCCAGCCTGGGTGACAGAGTAAGAACCTGTCTTCG